CCGAGAGCTATCTGATTTGTGTATCAGGGGACATTGAGAGTTATGCGACTTTGTATCACCAGACACTGAGAGTTATGTACATTTGTATCACCAACGTCGAGAGTTATATGACTTTGTATCAGTAAACAGTGAGAGTTATGCAACTTTGTATCACTATGTGCTGAGAGTTATATGACTTTGTATCACAAGAAAATGACTTTCTTTATCTAGACACCGAGAGTCATGTAACTTTGTATCAGCAGACACCGAGACTTATGTGACTTTCTATCAACAGACACTAAGAGCTATGTGACTTTACATCAGCAGACACCGAGACTTATGTGACTTTCTATCAACAGACACTGAGAGTTATGTGACTTTACATCAGCAGACACCGAGACTTATGTGACTTTCTATCAACAGACACTGAGAGTTATGTGACTTTCTATCAACAGACACTGAGAGTTATGTGACTTTCTATCAACAGACACTGAGAGTTATGTGACTTTACATCAGCATACACTGAGAGTTATGTGACGTTGTATCACCAGACACTGAGAGTTAAATGACTTTCTTTCAGCAGACACTGAGAGTTATGTGAGGTTGAATCAACAGACACTGAGAGTTATGTTAATTTGTATCAGCAGACACTGAGAGTTATGTGACTTTCTATCAACAGACACTGAGAGTTATGTGACTTTACATCAGCAGACACCGAGACTTATGTGACTTTCTATCAACAGACACTGAGAGTTATGTGACTTTCTATCAACAGACACTGAGAGTTATGTGACTTTACATCAGCAGACCCTGAGAGTTATGTGACGTTGTATCACCAGACACTGAGAGTTACATGACTTTCTTTCAGCAGACACTGAGAGTTATGTGAGGTTGAATCAACAGACACTGAGAGTTACGTGACTTTGTATCAGGAGACACTGAGAGTTATGTGACGTTGTATCAGGAGACACTGAGAGTTATGTGACGTTGTATCAGGAGACACTGAGAGTTATGTAACTTTGTATCAGCAGACACCGAGAGTTACGTGACTTTGTATCAGCAGACACCGAGAGTTATGTGACGTTGTATCAGGAGACACTGAGAGTTATGTAACTTTGTATCACCAGACACTGAGTTATGTAATTTTGTATCAGCAGACACTGAGAGTTATGTAACTTTGTATCAGCAGACACTGAGAGTAACGTTACTTTGTATCAGGAGACACTGAGAGTTATGTGACGTTGTATCACCAGACACTGAGTTATGTAACTTTGTATCACCAGACACTGAGAGTTACGTGACGTTGTATCACCAGACACTGAGAGTTATGTAACTTTGTATCACCAGACACTGAGAGTTATGTGACGTTGTATCACCAGACACTGAGTTATGTAACTTTGTATCACCAGACACTGAGAGTAACGTTACTTTGTATCAGGAGACACTGAGAGTTACGTGACGTTGTATCACCAGACACTGAGAGTTATGTAACTTTGTATCAGCAGACACTGAGAGTAACGTTACTTTGTATCAGGAGACACTGAGAGTTACGTGACGTTGTATCACCAGACACTGAGAGTAACGTTACTTTGTATCAGCAGACACTGAGTTACGAGACTTTGTATTACCAGACACTGAGTTATGTAACTTTGTATCAGCAGACACCGAGAGTTACGTGACTTTGTATCACCAGACACTGAGAGTAACGTTACTTTGTATCAGGAGACACTGAGAGTTACGTAACGTTGTATCAGCAGACACTGAGAGTTACGTGACTTTGTATCAGCAGACACTGAGAGTTATGTAACTTTGTATCAGCAGACACCGAGAGTTACGTGACTTTGTATCAGCAGACACTGAGAGTTATGTAACTTTGTATCACCAGACACTGAGTTATGTAACTTTGTATCACCAGACACTGAGAGTTTTGTGACGTTGTATCAGGAGACACTGAGAGTTATGTCACTTTGTATCACCAGACACTGAGAGTTATGTGACGTTGTTTCAGGAGACACTGAGAGTTATGTCACTGTGTATCACCAGACACTGAGTTATGTAACTTTGTATCACCAGACACTGAGTTATGTAACTTTGTATCAGCAGACACTGAGAGTTATGTGACGTTGTATCAGGAGACATTGAGAGTTATGTCACTTTGTATCAACAGACACTGAGAGTAACGTTACTTTGTATCAGGAGACACTGAGAGTTACGTGACGTTGTATCACCAGACACTGAGATTTACGTGACTTTGTATCACCAGACACTGGGTTACGTGACTTTGTATCACCAGACACTGAGTTTTGTAACTTTGTATCAGCAGACACTGAGAGTTATGTAACTTTGTATCACCAGACACTGAGAGTAACGTTACTTTGTATCACCAGACACTGAGAGTAACGTTACTTTGTATCACCAGACACTGAGAGTCACGTGACTTTGTATCAGCAGACACTGAGAGTTATGTAACTTTGTATCAACAGACACCGAGAGTTACGTGACTTTGTATCAGCAGACACTG